CATGATTAAAATTCTATACTATGATTGGCTTATAAATAAATATTGTTTTTTATTGTTTTTTATTAAAAAATTTGGATATTTTAAAACATTTAAAACATGTTTTAAAACAGGTTGTTTTAAAACATTTGCCATCCTTAGCTTGAGACTCCCTGTGCAAATTTCTGACCTTTTTGACCTCTCTATAGTGTCAACATCAAAGAAGCTATTTTTTTTATTTTGTTGTATGATATTTTTCTTATCTTAGATATATTATATATATAGATTAGAGTAGAGACTAGTTTAAATAATAGTATGTAATTTTATAGAACCTAATACAGGCTTATAATTATGACCATCCAGTGCAGGTAAAAAATCCTGTATTGAGTTTAATTTTTTTTCATCTTTCCTTTACTTTATTTATTTCTTGCTTGTATGTTTTAACGTATTCTCCTATACCTCTGTGTTTCTTTTTTTACTCTCTACAAAAAAATGGCATCTGATTAGTGATATTCTATTATAAGACAGTAGTTAGACAAGCCCTCTGGTTAAGGTATTATCTCAATTAATCATATTTTGCCAGTGTAACAGGTTGGCTATGGGCACTTGGATAGCCTTTAGTTATATTGCAGTAGCCATAGGATGTTAGAGCTGAAGTTTTATTGTTTTAAATCTTTCATCAAATGATGACTTGAATAAACATAGGTTACAGACATAATCTTGCCTATGTGAAAAAAAAATATATAATAAATATATTAGAAACACTTGATCTTAATACAATATAGGATCTACAAAACAAAATAAAAATTAACTTAGCTACAACAATCTTAGCACATCAAAAGCTCCAAATATAATTATTTATAATCAATTAGCCAAACATATTCTTACAAAAAAAAATGTTAATAGATAAAGATCTTATTCAAAAATAGTTATAATATAAAATAAAGAACTTAATAAAGAAATTTTCTAGCTATATAACAATGCCCTATAGCATTATCATAAACTAATCAACAACATACAGACCAATATAGAAATACAAAACTTTACAATACAAATTTAAAACTAAACCTACATACAATAGTATCCCTTTAGCAATTTAAACAATAGTTAATTACTTAGATTATATTATTTTTCTTATATTTACTAAAGCAAAAAAATTTATACCACAACATTAAAGGTAGGGTGTCTGTAGATCATTTTTAATAGTAATTATGTAGTATTCATATGAAATCATATGATTGACCAATCAGAATCGTAAAAACAACAAATTTGACCAATCAGAATTGGTAATTTTTGTGCAATCTAAGTAAATTTGGGGCAACCTAAGTATTTTTATCAATATACGAAGCAGATTTTTTTTAAAAGATACAGTGTTTATAATTTTAATGTTATAAATAAGAGACCTCAAATTATATACTGAAAAAATTTGGTGAAGATTAGTCACAATTCTAAAAAGTTTTATCAGTGGCGAATTTTTGCTGTCTATGTAAAATTTTAATATACCACGTAGATCATATGAAAAATGATCTACAGACACCCTACCCTTAAAATGAATATGAAAAACTTTTCTACAATGCATTGCAGAATTACAAAAGAGAAAACCAAGTTACAATTATCAATAAATAAACTAGTAACAAAAATTATTTTTTAACTTTATAATCAATATCAACTTTAACACCTGCTCTCAAAAATATATTATATAACTAATTAAATACTATAAAGAATTTACTAAAGATACAACTTTAGAATGAAATTTAAAGGACAGTTCAAGCTGCAATAAACAAAAACTACAACTTCTACCTAACCACCCAACAATATCCCCAAATATATACAACAAATACTACTTTTTACTTTATCTATAAAGAATAAAGCACAAACAAAAGCTATTGTAGCAGCTCTTCATCACTTATACCAATTCAATAAACTACCAAAAACTACTTTATGGGCTTAGATTTTCTTCTTGCTTATCCAGAAAATCTTTACTTAGCAGTATATATAATCTGTTTCAATTACAGATAAATAAAGTTTAAGAAAACTTAACTATTATAGATGGCAACTACAATAATATTAAAAACTTATTTCAATTCCAACTATCTACTTTAATCTACCACCCCAAACTACCACTACTACCAACTTATCAGAATTTTAACCATAAATACATACTGTATTTATGCGAAATAATGCACATCTGCGCGTTATTTTGAGGTGATGTGTGTTATTTCAAGTATGTGTATGGGCATTGATTCAAGATATAGGATACACTCCAATTAATGATAGTAAATATCAAAGTGATTTATTAATATTAGTATGTAGGATGTGTGTTATTTTGGGACACACATGGGCATTATTTTAAAACTAACTATACTATTTTAAAGAAATGAGATTTTTAAAATAATGCCTATGTGTGTTATTTTGTGTAAATATGGTAATATACTTTTTACTGGATCCAAATAACTGTTAGAAAGAAATCAATAAACTATAAAATAACTATATAAAGACTATGTCTTTAGGAACCTAATACATGACTACTATGATATAAAACTACTACTACCCAAAAACTTAACCAAAATAAAAACTACTAATGAATATAAATTCCCAATTGCAAACAAAAAAGAAGCTATAAACTTTATTTATAAAATCAGCTCTACATACAAACTCAACATACCACTTTCATCTAAAATAATGACAGCCAACCCTATTAACAAACCCACACTTTTTGATGATTCACAAGCTATTACAGACTATAGTATTACAATACCTATCATATCAAACAAAACTCTGACTGAAGTAACCAAACTACTAAGATCAACTTACTACTACAAATCTCTGCTTCATAAATCCAGCTTGATACTGACAACATAAATATTGTAAAAACAACAAAATCTACAAACCATAAAATAAAAAAAATTTACAAACACTTGCAAAACAACAATATTAACATATTACAAGTAACACTATCTATTACCAACCAAACAGTAGTAGCCAAAACTCTCAAAATTCGAAATCAAAACTTTACAATCAACAATATTCTAGACATGATCATAGCACTTCCACCTCTTCCAAAACCAACCTGGAAAATCTTTTTACCCATAAGAAGAAACAAGAACAATTATAAAATAGATACTAATACAACAACTACAAACACACCAGTACAACAGGTTAAGTTTTCTATACAAAAAGAAGACTTATCCAAATCACTTACATATAGAATAGTTTAGGCGAGGCTTTTGGCCACTTTTAACAAAGTTTGGGTCGTGGGTAAAGTAGCCCAAGTCTTAGTTTAACAAATAGAGTATATATCACGCACTTCTTTGTAAATGTATCCACATAACTTTTATAACAAATAAACTCAGGCTTTTAAAACCAAAAAAAAATAATGTGGCTTTGGATATGTGTAGTGATTGTCTAGAATTGTTTACAAAGATGTCACGATCCCTTTCTTTAGGGAATTACTGAATTAGCCGAATTAGTCAGGGCGGCCCCCAAAGTGCCAGTGACGTAAGACCAATCTATTGTAGATCACTTTTTTTAGATAACAATTGTACGTACGTACGTACGTAATTCAATATTACAATATATACTGTGGCTGCAACATGATTACGTCACTGGCACTTTGAGGGGGTCGCACTGGAGCCATCACCAAATTAGCTGAAGTGATCATATCTGTCAATTATTAAGCAAAAACCCTTTGATAAAATCTTCAACTGTAACTTTAAAATCGAAAAATATATGTCGAGTTCGATTCAGGAGAAACCTTAATTATTAGTCATCTATTTCATTTGCTTGTGGAAAACAAAAAAAAAACAAAAAAACTAATCAGAGACCATTAAATAACGCATAACATGTCAACCGAATCTAATGATGAGGGATCGTTGCATCTTCAAATCCCTACTTCGCTTTCAGATGAAGCCATTGCAAGGCAATTGGCTTTTGACAGAATCATTAACAAAATAGGAATGGGAAAATTTCAAAAACAATTGTTGGTTCGTTTGTCTCATAAACAGTTAATTTATAAGTATATAGTTTCATAAACGTAACAATAAATATTTCCTATTCTTTTCTAGTTGCTATGTGGGTTTGGATGGCTCGCTGACAATGTAAGTAATAATTTTTTAACTTTTTACAGTTTCAAGGTCCTTGGAGATAATCGAACCTTTATATTTAGATGTGGATTCAGGTATTTCATATTTATTTGTATTTATTTGTGATTTTGAATTATGTTTTCGATAACTTTATTTAAATAAATATTCTTTT